AATCATACTTCTGATCTTGCCCTCATTAACACTGTGTTGGAACCAAGAGAGCCAGCGTTCCATGGTATTGTTTGACTTTGGATTGTCTCTATTGATCTTTAGTCACAGGGTCCGAATTTCAGCTTTCTAAGGAATATAAGAGCGAGACAAGAATGTAGGAGATTATCAGTACTTATTGCCTCTTTCTAACTCCTAAAAGTTGGGTTTTGGATTACCAGCTAGTTTTGTACCCTGCTGATGGTGATTTGGTCCCAGGACAAACCAAGACTGACAAAAGTGTGAGGGAGAAGGCCTCCGAGAGTCTGGAGTTAATTTAAAGAGGGTAGGCTGATGACCTGGGTGTCCCACAGGTGGGGGGTGAAAGTCTCCCACCGGCACCCTCAAACGTCAGTGAGCACAAGAATCCCTTGGATCTTCTTACAATGCAGATTCTGCTTCAGCAGGCCTGGGTGGGGCGTGGGATTCTGTATCTCTAGCTGCTTCCTGCCACGTTGATGCTGATGGTTCTGTGGAAAACACTTTGAATAGCCAAGCCTCACACAAAGTTGGGACCTGAATAAGACTATGAACTAGTCAGCTGGCGGCTGAAACCTGTAAAGTCTGATAACCAGAGGCACCTGTGGGGTCTGACTTTGCACGGGTTGCTTGCTACTTAGAGCTGGTCTGTATTGGGATGAGAGTGAAGGCCCTCAGCCTCTAGGGTCTGTAATGACCACCAGGAGCAGCTGTGTAGTATTTCCTTTAGTCCTTAGGGCAGAGAGATTCCGGAGGGTCTTTTAGGTGGGATATGATTAACCTAAAGGGCAGGTTTTATTTCTGCTAAGTTTTAGTTAAATTGATTTCCCCATTACATGTTGACTGTATTCCATAACTTTATTTACTTAAATGTTTATTTATTTATGGGAGAGAGAGAGCGCGCACGCACGCATGAGAGAGTGAGAGAAAGCAAGCACGCACATGTGCGAGCGCATGTTGGGGCGGAGGGAGCGGAGGGAGCATATCTTCAAGCAGATTCACTGCTGAGTGTGGAGCCCTTGGCAGGGCTTGATCTCACCACCCTTGAGATAACAACCTGAACAGAAACCAAGGGTTGGCTGCTTAACCGACTGAACCGCTCAGGTACCCCTATATTTCATAATTTTGTAAAAAGATTTTACTTATTTATTTGAGAGGGAGAGTGAGCACAAGGCAGGGGAGGGCCAGAGGGAGGAGAAGCAGATGCAGGCCTGATCCCAGGACCCTGAGATCATGACCTGAGCTGAAGGCAGGTGCTTAATAGACTGAGCCACTCAGGTGTTCCTATATTTTATAATTTTATTTATATTTATAATTTTAACTGGATAGAAGGCTCTAACTAGGGGCTTCTCCCCCTGGCATGAAGCCTGCTTCTGATGTAGTTTAGGCATAGACCCTTCCTCTGAGGTTTTGACTTTATAAGACTGGAGAGAGTCCTGGGATCTGTATGTTTTTAAACAAGCTTCTAGGTAGTTCTTATGGTCAGGCAGTTTCTAGAAACAACAATGTAGAGAAACATTGATTTAGAAACCCATCCTTATGAGCCTGTGATGTTGACCATGTCTGAGGGACACCCTTACATGTTCTTTTCTTGGCCTCTTGGGTACTGGTTTCTGTCCCATGGAATCACTTCAATTTTTATCTTGACACATGCTTTCATTTTTACAGAGAGGCCCTTATCTTGGAAGGGACCAAATGAGAGAGCCTTTTTTCAACAACATAAGACATCAGTTCTGTGAGGCTGTTATTTTTAGGAAGGTTTTATAGACACTGACTATTAAACGCTTTTGGGCCTTCTTGGAAATAATAGGCTCTAAGCTTTGGACCTCTGTGGAGAAGTCTAAGGAGTGTCCTGCAGCTGACTTTTGCCAAACCCTCTCCCACTTTGGTTTAGACAGACAGCTGGGGATAATAGTGTCCCCTTTCTAAGTAAATGCTGACTAGAAATGGATGAGGAAGGGCCCCTCATCCTCCACAGACCAGTTTGGTTCTGATCCAGGTAAACTGACAGATTGAGGAGTTGGGCATTCCATATCATTATATTGACATTGACCTCCCTGTCTACAAATGCAGGGTTCATCTCAGCCTCACCTGGGAGACCAAGTCAGTTTATGAAGTGGGTGAAGTAGGAAATGGTTGCTATGATGGGATTGGAGGGGTGGAGAAAGGGTTCTTCCCTGGTGATTCTCAGAGTGTTACATTTCCATCAGAAACTGCATTAGAAGCAGGCTTCAGGCCAGAGATGTGTGGTTATTTGAACCACACTTAATTATTAGTGATTTCCTGACAGGAACACCTGTAATCTGTCAGGAACATCCTTATCGGGGTGTTAACGATGGTCACTGAGATGAAGAAGATTCCTGCTATGTCTGCAATTATGTATGACAGCGTCAAAATCCCCAGGAACTGCTGAGTGGAAGTCATAAGCTAGTCTATTAAAAATTAAAAAAATAATTTGGAATTCACTTAACTTTTGTGCCTAAAATTTTATCACTAGAGAAATTTGGGTGAAACACTTCTCTTTAAACCTCTTCTTCAACACATAAGCATCTATAGAACAGGGAACACATTTCTTATTTATACCTTCATAAGAATAATTTCATAAAATGCTTCTCAAAAGCAGTTGGCTAGAGAGTGGACTCTGACTTGATGGGGTGAAGTGTGGGGCCTGGACGAGGAGAGCAGTGCCGCAGGGGATGGCTAGAGGCAGCGGGTATGTGGGGAGGTATGTGGGGCCGCTCACCAGCGGCCACAGTGAGCTGGGAGCGCAGTGGGCAGAACTGGTTCTCGTTCACTTTGTGTGTGTATGTGTGTGCACGTGTACACACACACATGCTGTGTTACGGGGACTCAGAGAGCCTTGATGATGTGTGTGGCATATTTCACATACACTTGACCACTTATGATGAAAAGCCGGGTGATTTATTTAAGAAGATTAAGATTAAACATCATAATTGTACTTGGGATTATTTTGCTCTTTTTTTTTTTTTTTAAGATTTTATTTATTTATATGACAGAGAGATCACAAGTAGGCAGAGAGGCAGGCAGACAGAGAGGAAGGGAAACAGGCTTCCCGCCGTGCAGAGAGCCCGATGCGGAGCTCGATCCCAGGACCCTGAGATCATGACCTGAGCCGAAGGCAGCGGCTTAACCCACTGAGCCACCCAGGCGCCCCTATTTTGCTCTTTTTTATAAGTCTGTTTAATTTTGAGAGAAAAGCTGGGGAAATGATTCAGGTTCTGTACCTGCTTAACAGGTGAACTTGGCCAGTAGGAGAGAACTTCCTCTGCGTAGGGGCTTTTTTCCTAGTCCCTTCTGAGAAGGGCTTGACTCTTCTGAGAGGCCGTGCCACTTAGAAAGTGTGTGTTAGTACCTGCTTTCTCTGTCTTATCTGCAAAGCCCTTGGCTGAACTCTGAACTTGGACATCCTATTACCGAAGCCAAAGCTTGTTTGAATGGTGTAGTGTGTTTTCAGAGTAGTATGATGATGGTTTGGGAGATTACATTTGCCCCTGCTGGCTGAGTAAGACTGAACAGATAGGGAAGTGATCAAGAAGTACATCCCAGGGACCAGACGTCTGGAAATTTTTTTGAAGACTAACCCACACCTTCACTGATGGCTGTTTTTTTTTTCCCCCCTGTCTTTCGATTGAGCTTAGTACTCCTAATTCTAAGATTGACAAGGTGTTCCTTATGTTCCTGGGCAGGGTCTTGAGATAAAACACACAGAAAACGAATCTGTTCTATTACAAATAAAATACCTTTGTCTTCAAGGGGTACTGGTTTGCTGGTACCCAGGAGAGGTGGGAACACACAGCCTGTGACTGTTGTACAACACCGAGAACCATCTCTTCCCGCCCCACCCTCCACCCCGTGGTGTGACTATGAGCTTGCTCTGTGATCTTGGACAAGTCATTTTACCTGTTGGGGCTAGAGAAGGTAAGGTGGTGAATCTAGGCCTGAAATTCTTATTCTAGGTGAGTCTCCATGTTCAGTCATTTATGCAGCACAAGCTTACTGAGCCCCTCAGGGAACCAACAGTCTGGAGAGGCAGAGCAGTCGTTGTCTCTCTTGTGGGTAGTGAGGTGCACAGTGTGGGGTGGATAAGCCACGCGGGCCATGTAGAGGCCTCTAGAAGGTGTGGACCTCACATGCCCAGAGCGGGTGGGGAGACTCTGTAGGTTTGGGTTGCATTCTAGGGAGGGTGCTAGGGATTTCTGCAGCCCTGCTTGTGCCGCTGGTCTACGTGGGTTTGTGGACCTGCTAGGAGATCCTGCAGCTCGGCCAACTTCGCTGTGGTGTGGCCAAGAGGGCAATACTCTGGAAGCTGAGTCAAGTCTGGAAGCAGTTGGGGTGTGCATTGTGTCACCGTGATCTGTGTTGATCTGAATACTGTTTTTATATTTTGGACCCCATTTTTCCCCTTTTGTAAAGACAAGTGAGAACTATAGAAACAATGTGAGGTTTTGCCTGCTCTTTACAGAAATATGCTTTTTTTGGGGGGGGGTGATTTTTTCTTGCTTAGAGAAAGAAGACATATTCAAAGAGAGAGGCAGCTGAAGCGAGCTATTCTCAACCCCAAATGACTTGACGGCTCCTGGGCCTTAGCATCTCTGTAACCACAGAGGGTGCTCCACACTCCAGGAAGAAACTTGACCCTCTCATAAAAATCACGTGGAGCTTTCTGGATGGCCTGTTTCTTTTCTCGAGTAGTCAGATTTTATATCTAGGTGGGAGGAAAAGTATTGTCTGAGAGGAGAAGTGTGTGCTTGCTTTGGTGGCTCATACACTAAAATTGGAATCACACAGGGGTGCCTAGGTGGCTCAGTCGGTTAAGCATCTGCCTTCAGCTCAGGTCATGATCCCAGGGTCCTAGGATCGAGCCCTGCATTGGGCTCCCTACAGAGGGGGGAGCCTGCTTTTCCCTCTCCTCCCTGCTTGTGTTCTCTCTCACTCTCTCTCTTTTCTCTCTCAAATAAATAAAATCTTAAAAAAAATAAAAAGTAAAATAAAGTTGGAACAATACAGAGATAAGCATGGCCCTGTAGCAAGGATGACAGGCAAATCTGCGAAGCATTCAGTATTTAAAAATGAATGGATGGAGGGTGCCTGGCTGGCTCAGTTGGAAGAGCATGCGGGTCTTGATCTTGGAGTCGTGAGTTTGAGCCTCACACTGGGTGCAGAGATTACTTAAAAATAAAAAGTCTTTAAAGAAATAAAGATGAAAGTTTCTTGGGGAAATGAAATCCTCCTGCAGTGGTGGGCCCTGGGCTCTCTACCCATCAATCTGCAGGGCTAGGAGGAGTTCTGAGCATCAACAAGGACGGGTATTTTCGTGTGAACAAAAATGGACACCATAGGTAATAGGCCAGGCCACCTCTTCTGTACTCTGCACCCTCCCCAACCCCTCTCCCGGCACTGCCCCCATTTAGAGCATCTGGATCACCTGGAGGGCTTTTAATAACACACATGGCTGGGCCCCACCCTCAGAGATTCTGAGTTGCTAGGTCTAGGGTGGGCTGAGAATCTGGATTTCTAACACATTCCCAGTTGATGCTGATGCTGCTAGTCTGGGGGGACACTTTGAGAACCACAGGAACACCAGGCACGCCTTGACCTTCTGGAGGGTGTGTTGGGACAGGCAGGCTCCACTCCCAGTGGGGTGTCTGCCTCTGGGGAATGGCCCCGTGCTGGAGGAGCCAGTAATGGGGAAGCCGTGGTTGCCTGGAGTTCCAGGGGGACCCCAGGTTGGAGCCTTCTCTCTCAGTCCTCTGCACACAGGCCAGGGAGGTGGCATTCAGGGGACTCTCAATCAGTGGGACTCCCATGGCCTCCTTTAATACCTTCTTTTCTGTGGTGTTCCCGGACCATGCTTCTCTCCTCTGTAAGACCCTTCATAGTCTTTACATTGGCCTTAAGGTAAAGCCCAGACTCTCCTCCCTTCACAGTTTCGTGTCTTGCCAGTCTTCCCCTTGGCCCCTGGAATACTCCAGTGCTCGTTAACCCCTTTCTTGGGAGAGTTCACTCTGTTCTTCCTGCTTCAAGAGCATCCATCCAACTTGGCTGGTGCCTCTGCCAGACAGGCTATTTGCCTGTCCTCTTAGTCTGGCCAACTCCTGCTTGTCAGACCTCAGCTTGGTGGTCACTGCTCTGGTGAGCTCCCTTTGACCCTTCTGGGACCAGCTAGTACTTCTGTAAAGGCTTCACATCACCTTGTCTTTTTCTTACTTGCCTCTTATCAGCTGCATCAGGGTCCTGATTACTCGCTGTTTCTGTCTCTGTCTCTCTGGATTGTAAGCTCCCAGAGGGCAACCAACCCATCGCATGCTCAGTCATGTGACTCTGGGCATGGCATGGTGCTTCAGTGAGAGGGGTACTGCAGGGGAGGAAACCGAGGCAAAGGTAGGTTAAGTACCTCCCTAGCTTAGAATTACCCTGTCACTGAGTTCCAGCACTGGGATTCTAACCCAGGGTTCCCTGACCCAACCCCCCTTCCTGGCCAGACTTTCTGCTTTGAGACCAAGGAGCCTAGGCGTGGTCTGCAGGCCTTTCCTGAGCGCATTAAAAGACTGCTTGTTCCAGATTAACCAAAATGGCCCTTTCTTATTGTTTTTCAGGTCGGCGGGGAAGCAGACTCTTGAATTCACAGCTGGCTTATGGTTTTGCCTCTTGTTACAGAGGACTCACACAGGTAAGGACCTGCTCACGCTCAGGTGGGTTGTAGGCAAACTCTGGCCCTGATGATGTGCTCTGATAACCACCCAGAGTTCTCATTCATTAAAAAGAAAATCCTCTAGGTAGGGTGACACTTCCTGTAAGAAAGGTGTGAAGTGGTCCCCTGCCCCTGTGGGGAATTGCAGGGTGAAGGTGTTTACTTGGCTGGCTTTCTCCTGGGCATTGCTGGCCTTCTCATTACCAACATTTTTTACTTTGAGCGGGGCTCCCTTCTGCAGTCCATGGGAGTTTGGTCCTTTATAATTATTTTTCCTCATTTAAGACCCAGCCCAAATATCATATGTTATTGATCAGACTGTTTCGGCGAGAGGCTTTTTGGAGCCTAGCCTTTCCTCTCAGCTTTACAGCAGAACCAATCACAGCCTCTCGCTCGCCGTGTGAGCTGGATGTATTTGTTCGTGCACAACTTCTCCCTCTAGTCTGTGAGTTCCTTTGCTGCCATCTCCCACCTAGCCCGTTTCCTGGCATGGAGCAGACTTTCAATAAATGAATAAATATGTTTGATGAAGAAAACATTCTTGGTGACAAAAACATCATAATGTATTTCTAAGCCAATTAAATGATTTGTAGAGTGCCTCTTTGCTCATATGACCATGTATAATTGAGAATTTACCATAATAAGTCAATAGGAGTTTAGATTCCTCCCCCAATGAAAAGGCGTTTTCATGTCATCGTCTTTCTATGGAATAATAAGTGGAGGTAGGTCATGGAGCACTGATGTGCTAACTGACAGCCTGTGACCATGAGCAGCCAGCCCTCCTGGCTGCCTTGGGAGAGACCATTGTCAGCTAGACCCCGGGAACCCTGGTCAGTCCCAGCACTGAACATGTGTCTAAATGTGTAGGCGGTAAGGGAGCAAACAAGAGACTTGCCCAGTTTACAACCAAGAGGAAATAAAAATATTTCTGAGTGATTTGAGCAATTGCTCTTAAAACACAGTTGAGGTTTAAATAAGGTTAGCAAAAACCTTTTAAGTCATTGCATCTCTGTCTTTCCCAAACTTCTCCACATGATGGGTTCTTTGAGATGTGGGCTGATTGGCTTGATGCTGTTTTGTTTCACCCTGGGTATTGGGAGTAGCAGCCCCCAGGCTGGTGGTTCACTGAGTATTGAAACCAGCATAGGACCTGGGTCTTCACATAGGAGAATATGGTTTTGAGTCTTTGCTCTTCCCTTCCTCTCCTGCCTCCCCATGAACACACTACTCATTGTTTGGCCTTTCCAGCTACTCTGGTGAGGTGTGTGGAGCACTGAAGCAAAGAAAAAGGAGTCTTCTTCTGGTTTCTGCATTCCTAGTAGAGGTCCTGGCCGATGAGTCGCACGTGAAAGCAGTCACATAGCTGTGGTTTCTTTTACCTGGTGCTGAGCCCCAGATACACAGCTGCATGCGAGAATTTAGTGAAAGACAAGGCAGCCCAAGAAGTCTGAATCTCAGCTTACCCTTTTCATGTTCTTAAAATTTCCTAGGGCTTGGGTAGAGTGAGGACTTGAGCTTTGCCCAGGAATTTGCAGTCTCCATGGAAGCCAGTTTGTCTATCATACTTGAAAAATAAATTAAGGAAGTTAATTGCAGTTTAAAAGCCCAGATGGTAAGATATGAGTGAGTTTTAGCTTTTTAGGTTTTGGAATTTGAGATATTATTGCCTGTTGTGTGCTGCACTATTCCTGTGGAGGCCATATGCAAGGTGGTGGCTGTGTGTCTGGTTTTTACGCTGCCAAATACATGGGGAGTGCTTAACAATTGGTAAGCATTAGCAGTTTATTGAGCTTCTAGGAGATACCTCATTCTTAGAGCGACTCCTGGTTTACAATACAAGTCTAATCTAATTAGAAAACAAATGTGGTGGGTGAGGTCATCAAGTTCCTGAGCTGGTCCTCTTCCACACGGCACAGGCACACAGAGGTATGCATCCAGACATAATTCACTAGCATTCCCTAGTCAAACCTTGACCACCCCACATTATTCTCAGTAGCCCAAGAAGTGATACAGTTCCTGGATTTTCTTAGAGCTTCTGAACTTTGTTTGGGATGGGGGAGGGGTGGTTGTTCTTTTTTGGAATGTTTACTGTTTCTAAAGATGGGCCTGCTGGTGCCTCAGCAGAATTTGTATATCAGGGCCTGTGTGTGTGTCTGTGTGTGTTTAATATAGCCATTTTGGAGTGTTGGCCTTGATCCAAAGACTCTGTCCAGCTTGGGCCCCTTGTGTCCAGGGTAGACACTTGGGAGCCATCAGAGCAAAGGCAACAAGCGGACACAGCGACTGTGCTGCTGGTCTCAGGCCCCAGTGTCATTAGTGTGTGGGGACTGACTCTATCCTTTATTGCTGAAATGGCAGGGATCCCAGACTGCATGTGGTTCTAGATAACACAGAAAAGAAATGGCCCATCTCCCCTCAGGTATCTGGGTTTTTTGTTGTTGTTGTTTTTCAGGTGAAACCTTTTATCTTTTCTTCTTCTTAAAGAAGAAACAAAGTCTCCAAAATAGGCTTTCAAGTTTCACTGCAAAGCTGCACCCAGGAATTGACAGCTCTGGGAGGGGGAGTTTGCTTTTTTCTCCATGTCCAGGGCACAGTCAACGCGTCATTTAGGAGCCACTGTGTGCTTTGATCAGGTGGCTTGTCTGCTGTGGTTTGTTGGCTGGTTTGTCTTATCCACTGTAGGAGTTTGTTGTTGATTTCGAGATAACTTATAAGTAGTTTCCAGGATGACTTGCTTGTAAATAGATGCTCTTGGACTTCTCCTTTATGAAGGGACTGTTGTTGTGATCACTCTCCTGTCCTCTTCCAATTAAGAAATGGCTGTGTCCTGTTCCTCAGCATCTTCTTAAAATTACGGACCCAAGATGGAAGGAGGCCTTCGGGTAACTAGTTAATAAAAATAACTTTCCCAAATAGGAGAGGAAGCTCTTTCACTCTCTTTTAATGGTGAAGAGTAAATACTGTGCATTTTAAATGTTTCCATTTCTCTTGAAAGCATTTCTTACATGGCACGGTTCTGAGGCTTCTGGGATCCTATTCTCTCAAATCCCTTTTTCAAAGCTGGACAGACCCCTGCCTGGCTCCCTTCAGCCCACCTCCGTGGATGCTTATCTCTTCTCTCTTTTATTTCCTGACAGCCACGCCTGGTGCTCACCTCCCTGCCCTTTCCCCGTGCCTGCCTGGGGTTGCTGCCGGGTGTCCTTCTTCCCTTTCTGGTCGCAAACTGGAAAAGAAAACAAATAGCCCAAGCTCCCATTGCAGCCCAGCAGGCCGGGGTAAATAGTCCTCATTCTCCTTGTTCTTGGGTTCAAAGTGCACTTCACATTTTATGGGGGTGATGAGCCCTCCCAAGGTGCTGGTTTGAGGGGGCCTGCATCTGAGCCTGGTGGACAATTAACCATACTGACCTTTTCCTTTTGCCTTCGCCTTTCTGGCTGAGTTGACATTAATGCCATGAGTGAGAAGGGGCTGCTGCTCCTTTGAGCAGAGCACCAGGCCGGGGTGGAGAAACATCTGATCTTGTTCAAAGGGGCTGTCTCTGAAGCATGAAGATTGAACTGATCGTGACCCCACCCTGGGGGAAGGAGAATCACCCTCTGGAGAACCCGCCTGGAGGAGGGAGCTGTTAGTTACTAATCCCATTGGCTTGTGGGTCTTCAGGGTCTTATATCCGTTTAAAAGAGAGAGAATTGGGGTTGGAGGTCATAAAATAGGCCTTAAATTGGAGGAGCAGGGGGTCATTTCGTCTAATTTTGTGGTTGTTACTGAGGAATAAAAGGCAGAGGAGATAATTTCATTAGCCCTTTTGAGGTCTTTATCACGGTGAGATGGCCCTTGGGGGTGGAGCAGGGCCTCAGGAGCTCTGGCCTGTTGCGTGCCAGTGGCCCTACAGCTGCATTTCCATGGACCAGGGGAGGGCTTGGGGAGGCACAGTCACTGTTCTGGGCAGGAATGTAGCTTTCCCTGCTCTACGCTAGAGTTAGTGACTTAAAGCAGTTGGTTGGTGTCCCTACAGAGCTCTCTGCCAGTTCCTCAGAAGCATGGCATTCACACTGAAAAGAGGGGAATCCACCAGACAAGAGAGCTCCTTTAGAATTGGGATGGTGTCTTTTACTTCCGGGGAAGGCTGGCCAGTCACCTGTTGATGTGATTTATTTGGAGCCTGATGGTCATCACATTCCTTTGAGCTGAGCAGTGTTCAAAGTGTTAAATCTTACAGTGGGGATTTGGCAAGAAAGTGAGAGCTGTGCCTTCTGTTTGCTTAGTGCTGTTCTGTCCCTAGTGTATGTTCACGTCTACCGCTTCCTAGAGCCCTGCTCAGTAGGCATGGATCCCTTCCCATGTGGACAGAGAGAAGTTCTGGGACTCATTCTTGGTTTCCCAATAGGGCAGTAGGGGAGCTGGGATTCTATCCTGGGCTTCTAACTTGCAAATTAGGTTCTCTGTGATCATTATTGAAGAAACAGAGGAGAGAGGAGGAAGAGGATAGTGATAAAGGTTGTTCCAAGAGAAGGAAGAGAAAAGTAGTGGTAAATAGATAGTTCTCTGCACCAGTCACAGCTGGCACCATTCCCCAAGGCAGCCTGGTTTCTTTCGGAAGGGGAGCGAAGTGACCAGGGTGGGCAGGGCAAGGCAGGGTGGCACTGGGCGAGATTGGAGAGGGGAGGATAGGGAGGGTGATTTGTGTATCTGACACAGTCATGAAATGTTGAGTCACTTCTGGAATGCCCAGGCGTATGATAAGGAAGGACAGTGCCATCAAGTGTCCACATCGCTTCTGCTTGCTGGTTTATTTCTGAGGCCCAGCTCTTCCCATGTCCCTCTTCATTCATACTCTTACTGTCTCATGTCTGATAGCCTTCTTTTCTAGCTTCTCCCTCTCTACTGCATACATTTCTGCCTAATGTTTATGAACTTGGCTCTGAGAAACAGAAAACTTCTATTAAAATGTGCTAACAAAAACCTTCACCACTGTGAAG